GTGGGCCTTGCGCATGCCCCCGATGCTTTGAGTACGCTACACCGAGACTATGGCCTTTGCTGCGGAAGCCAGCTCTGCCCCTCAAAGCGTGTTCTAGCTGTAACTGTTTTGAGCAGCTCAATCTGGATGTTTTGCCACCAATAGCCTTCGTGGACTGCAGCAGCCATTTTCATCCAGGCCAGAGATGAAGCACTTTCTCTGACGGCCCACCATGAAGGACTGCGAACACCTTTGTCCCACCCTTTTCTGGATACTCCTTTTGTCTTGTTTTTGGTCAGCAGGAAATCCCTCTCTCATGCTGTTCTCTGGCATTGCAACAGTAGACTCAATAAAAACTTTCTCTTCAATAGTCTTTACCTAATCATGATTTGTAGTTTTTGTCTGTTATTTCATTTTTAGATTATAATATAGTTACAACATCTCTTATCTTTCCTTTCCTCCTTCCAAAACCTTTTATATGCCTCTCCTTGATCAACTTCATGGCTTCTCTTTTTATTAATTGTTACTACATGCATATACATATATATTCCTAAATATAATCTGCTCAGTATATATAATGTTACTTATATGTGTGTGTTTTCAAGGCTGACCGTTTGGTATTGGATAACCACTTAATTAGTATGCTTGTCCCTAAAGAAAACTATGTCTCCTGTTCTCAGCATTTTTCCATTGCCTGTAGATCTTTGTGTAGGGGTGTCCTTATGCCCAAAGGTAAGTATAGTCCTCACCCCTCATCAAATAAACTTCTCTTTGTAACAAAAAGAGGCCACTACAGAAAACCACAACTAATCAAAACAGGGTTGTGGGGTTCAGTCCCAATGGAAACATCTACACCACACCCAAGGCTCAGAGAACACTGTTGAAGAGTGGCCTGAAACATTAAGAGTCAGAAGATCAGGGAATTTGCTGTGAGACTGTCTCCTAGGAATGTCAGGAGCTGTACCCATAAAGTCTCACCAGCAGGACTACCAAACGTGAGTCGAACAAGAACCACACCAATAGACATGACAAAGCAGATGCAGGAAAGCCCACGAGGCTTCAACCTACACAAAGTTTTTCTTTTTAAGTGCAGTGGGTTGAGCTGATAGCACACACACACACACACACAGACACACACACACAAAAAAAACCCTAAATGTTAGTAATAGTGAGAGGAGGGCTGGAAACTCTCAGAGAGAGAGAGAGAGACAGAGAGACAGAGAGACAGAGGGACAGAGAGAGAGAGAGACAGAGAGAGAGAGACAGAGAGAGAGAGACAGAGAGAGAGAGAGACAGAGAGAGAGACAGAGACAGAGACAGAGAGAGAGAGATTGGGGGACTTGGGAATATACATAGGAGAGACCACAAAGAGCAGCAGAGATATAGAGTAGGTAGGAGAGGACAGACGGACAAGGAAGAAGAAATACAGACATCTGTGAAGAGGCAGAGATGAGAAACTGGAATTGTGGGTGCTAGCCACTGGGAAACATGTAGGAAGCAGCCAAGCGTCTTGAGCTGTATTAGTCAAGGTTCTCTAGAGAAACAAAACTTACAGAATGTGCGCACATGCTGCTTCCTACATGTTTCCCGTGTGTGTGTGTGTGTGTGTGTGTGTGTGTGTGTGTGTGTGTGTGTGTGTGTGTATAACAGGATTAAGAGAATGGCTTTCAGGCTGTAGTCTAACAATGACTGCCTACAACCGAAGGTCCAAAGCTTTAGTAGTTGTTCAGTCCAGGAAGCTGGATGCTACAGTGGTCTTAGGTATGCGTCAGAATCCAGAAGAGACAGACTGTAACGCCAATGAAGGAATTGAGAGTGAGAGCATATGGACAGAGAGCTTCCTTCTTCCATGACCTCCACATAGGCTGCCACCCAAAGATGTAGGCCACATTAAACTGGATCTTTCCACCTCAAAAGGCTTAATTGAGAAAAATATCTCTCACAGGTAAACCGAGCCACTTGCATTTTAGTTAATTCCAGATGTAGTCAAATTGACAAACAAGGATAGCCATCACATGGACCAGGGGTCCTAACATGCCAGGAATGACAGCGAGAATACTAGCTGCTGAGAAGAGTCAAGGGTGCAGCATCCTACACCTGGAGGTGTCCTGCTGGCTGCTGAAGGAACTGGGAACCCAATGCCAAGTCTCCCCAGGGTTGCAACACTGACAAGCACCACTGTTGCATTTGACTGCAGCTGCTCTGGCTGCTCGTGAGCAGTGGTTTTCACTAGCTATTAAGTGCCAGGCCATTGGCAATTGGAACCTAGAGAAAGTAGTAAGTGTCTAATTGCAGCACTTTGAATTCTAAGCCTCTGGTTTCTAATGCCTGGAACTCTAAGTCTCTGGTTTTGGAGATTTGAAGCTATGAGCCTCTGTCTGCCAGCTGTCCAACACTCAAGGGCTGAGGGCTGCCAAACACGGAACAAACTACTCCTTGCCAACACCCAATCCTGGAGACTCATTGCAAACGGCACTCATATAATATATTCAACCACGATGAGCTGTACTGTTGAACTGGCCAAGACTGCAAATATTTCCCCAGCCTGTGGGTTGTGTCTTCACTCTGCTTCTTCTCTGGTTTGGTGTAATTCCATTTGTCCATCTTTGTGTCTGCTGCCTGACCTTTCAGGGTTATATGACAAAAGTGTTTGCCCAGACCCGTGTCATGGACTTTTGCCTATGCTTTCATTCATCAATTTCATAGTTTTATGTCTTGTATTTAAGTGTTTAACTTTTGTTTGTTTGCTTGATCTGTGTGTATGTGTGTGTGCACATATTCTTACATGTACCTGTGTGTGTACACGTGCATACACATGTTTTGTGCATGTATGTGGAGGTAGAGGTTCACACCAAGTGTCTTTCTCCCTCCTCCTTACTTTTTGAGATAGCATCTCTCACTGAACCTGATCTCACTGATTTGACAAAACTAGCTGACCAGCAACCCCAGGGCCCCTCCTGCCTCTGCCTCCCTAGCACTGGGAGTGCAGGCTTACCCTGCCACACCTGCTGTTTTCACATGATGCTGGAGAGCAAACTCAAGACCTCACACCTGCATGGCAGGGTGCTTTACCAGCTAAGTCATCTGCTCAGCTTCCATGTCATGTTTTGATACGTACATGCATTGTATAGGGTAAGCATACCCTTAGATATTTATTCCTTCTTTACGGGGAAAGTGCTCAACAGCCTTTCTCCTAGTGTAAAAAGTAATAATAACCAGACCATGTCACCATCGTCGCATCTATATCACGATGCCAGTAGGAAAGCAGAACTCATTTGTCTCTTCGCTAACTGCAACTTACTACCCCCTGACCAGTCTCCTTCCCGATTCGCTGTTCCTTTAATTCTCCCAGCTGCTGGCAGCCCCTGTCCTACATTCAGTTTCAGTGACATGTACTCTTTTTTTTTACTCCAGCTATGAGTGACATCACTTAGTCATTTTCATTTTGTTCCTGGCTTACTTCATTATTTAGTATACTGCTCTCTAGCTCTGTCTTGTCTCTGTTGTTGTGAATAAATGGATTTCATCTCTTCTCGTGGCTTACATTATTCCATCATGCGTAGGGATCGTGCTTTACCCACCCATTGGTGAGTGGGCTCTTGTGTAGTTCCCAGTTCTTAGCCTTTACAAATCCTGGCAGAATAAACAGGTGACTCCAGATGTCTCTTTAAAGTAAGGACTCATTTTGTCTTAACATCTATACTGAGTAGTAGGGTTGGTATGTAGCTTTTTATTTTAATTTATTTTTGGACAGTTTCACACATGTGTATACCACATTGCTGTCACACTTCCCCCCCTCTCTCACCCCCTCCCACCCATCAGATCTCACCTTCCTCCCAAGTCCCTCTCCCCCTTCTGCTTCTTCTTTTGGCTTTGTTTTGCTTTGTGAATTTAGCGAGGACCACCCATGTGACCATGGATGTGGAGCTATCCACTGATGCACTGGGAAGCTCCTTTTCCTTCATTTTCACTAGCACTTCATATTTTTAATTATGATGTTTCTATTTATTGGACTTGTAACTGCACATGTCACAGCCTTCATGTCTTGGTCAGAGGGCAACTTTGCAGTTGGCCTCTCCTTGCACCTTTGCATAAATCTGAAGGTTGAACTGAGGTTGCTGGACTATAGCAAGTACCTTTATCCACTCAGCCATCTCACTGGTACACACACACTCACACACAGAGACACACTCACACACTCACACAGACACACAGACACACTCACACACACTCACACACAGAGACACACTCACACAGACACACAGACACACTCACACACACTCACACACACACTCACACAGACACACACACTCACACAGACACACTCACACACAGAGACACATTCACACACTCACACAGACACACAGACACACTCACACACACTCACACAGACACACAGACACACTCACACAGACACACTCACACACAGAGACACATTCACACACTCACACAGACACACAGACACACTCACACACACTCACACAGACACACAGACACACTCACACAGACACACAGACACACTCACACACACTCACACACACTCACACACACACTCACACAGAGACACACTCACACAGAGACACAGACACACAGACACACTCACACAGACACGCTCACACAGACACACAGACACACTCACACACACTCACACACAGAGACACACTCACACACTCACACAGACACACAGACACACTCACACAGACACACAGACACACTCACACAGACACACAGACACACTCACACACTCACACACAGAGACACACACAGACAGACACACTCACACACACATACACACTCACACACAGACACGCACTCACACAGACACACACACACACACACACACCATGACCAGAATTTTTTTTTTTTGGTTTTACAAGACAAGGTTTCTCTGTATTGTTTTGGAGGCTGTTGGTCCAGCCTGGCCTCGAACTCACAGAGATCCGCCTGCCTCTGCCTCCCGAGTTCTGGGATTAAAGGTGTGCGCCACCACCGCCCGGTGCTTTTTTTTTTTCAGACTTTTAATTAGTGTATAAACCAGATCCTTTTGGGGAAGAGGAGTGGGTAGCAGGGTTCCAGGGTAAGGAAGCACACAGCTGGATAGAGTTAGGGCAACCGTGGAAGGTTCCAGATTCTGAAGTGCAATGGGAATGATCACTGTGAATTGCCCAGGATGGGATGGGCAGTTTGTCTATTCACCAAAGGATGTGACCAAGGAAGACAGTGGGGGAGCCTCTCAGATAGTCACACTGTTTTCCACCATGCTGGGCCGGAGATACTCATAGGGCAGGTCCAGGCCTGCGTTCCGCACCTCAATCTCCTTGTCCATAATTGCCAGCTCCTCCTGGAATTGCTTCAGCACAGCCCGGGGATCGGGGCCGGAGAAATACTCCTCTTTATGCTGCCCCAGGGCCACCTGAGAAGGAGAAAACAAAATGGCTCAGGCCACTGAGCCTCTCTCAGGCAAGAATACTGTGCCTCAGTCAAGCTGCCTTCCCCACCCCCAGGCCAGAGCCCAGGCATCTGTGTCTAACCATGGCAGGCTGGCGTCTGCCAAGGAACTTGGTGAATGTCATCTGCATCCGTGCCTGCTGGAGAGTAGGCATCGCATCCAATATGTCCCTCTCTGTCACATCCTTGGATGTCGGTGGGGGCTTCCGCATGGTGCATGGGCCATTTGGGATCCTGGTGAAACGGAGAGTTAGATCTGAGACCAGCATGGGAAGCAGATCTCAGGTAGGCAAAAATGTCTGGCCTTGTTCCGGTCATAGCCTCTAGAGGCTATGGTTCACAAGTAGTGTGCAGTCAAAACCCAATGGAGACTATTACAGAAAAGACAACAAGCAATCCAAATGCAGAGCTTCGGAGCCCAGCCCCAGTGGACACATCGATAAAATAACTCCCCAACCTAAGACTCGGGGTTCTTTCCGAAGAGAAAGATTGTAAGATCCAGAAAATCGGGGACTTTGCTGTGAGGTTGTGTCTCCTGGGAATTCAGAAGCCATAAAGTGTCACCAACATGACTGCCTAACCATGAACTGAGCAAGAACAAGAACAGACACGCTAGCATGGGTGAGGGAAAGCCCAGGAGGCTTCAGGTCTGCACACAGACCACTAAGGAGCTGAGAGCCCGAGAGACAATCGTCCACAGGAAATAGCCCAGCAAGTGGCGATCCAATACCAAACGGGGCCCTGAAAACACATAGACACAAGTAACTGAGCAGGGTGTATTTACGCATTTAAGAATATATTATAATGGTGGTGCACACCTTTAATCCCAGCATTCAAGAGACAGGTGCAGGCAGACTTCTGTGAGTTCGAGGCCAGCCTGGTCTACAGAGTGAGTTCCAGGACAGCCAGGACTGTTACACAGAGAAACCCTGTCTTGAAAAAAAAAAAAAGAAAATGTGTGTGTGTACATATATGTATATAATAACAAATAATGAAAAAAGAGGCCATGAATTTGAAAGAGAACAAGGAGGGGAATTTGGGAGGGTTGGGAGGGATGAAAGGAAAAAGATAAAATAATCCCCCAAAATAAAAGTCAATAAAACTGATGCATGTAGGTTGGGCCTTGGAGCTGCTTTCCAGCTCTATGGTAGGGATGAATAAGGGAAATATCTAAGAGGATAATAGTTTTGGCTCCAGAGAAAGCTCCAGGTGCGTGAGGAGAGAGACTACTGCCAGAGGATGAGAAGGCAAAGGAGCTGCAGAGAAAGAGTGAAGGTCATGGCTTCCAGAGGCTCGGGAGACACCCAGGAAAGTGTTTCAAGATATCGGACAAGGAATGTTGACAGATGTGTGGGCGACGAAGCAAGGTAACTCAGGGGGATCCTGTGTCTTACCCCCGGTCCTGGCCCCCCTGCAGCCCGATCTCGGTGATCTCTCTGCACCAGACCTGCAACTCCGGATCACCCCTCACGTCACTGTCACTCGTGTAGAAAAGCTCGAGCATCCTTTCCACATACCTGCTCCCCAGAGAAGAGGGTCTCAGCTACAGGGCCAGGCTAGGGCCTCTGGGACCCGCTGCACACACACACACACACACACACACACACACACACACACACACACACACACACACGCCTCTCCCCTCTGTGTTGTCCTCACCGATGGATGATTTCCCATAGCTTGAGGGCATCCTGAGCATACAGAGAAGATTTCACACCCAGGAGCCCACGGTCAGCCAGATCATCCAGGGGGGCAAAAGGAGCGATACGTCAAACAGGCTGTGGCTCTCTGGAGAATGTCCACATGGCCTCCGCTCCCTGTGCTCACCACCTGAGGACAGATCAGGGTTAGCCAAGCCAGGGAATAGAGTGAGGGAGGTTGGGACCAGCAGGCTATTCAAGTATGAGCCAGGTGAAGGGCAGCCTTCAGTACGAAAAGAATGAGTGGGGGAGACACCCTTGACAGACTCCTTCCCCTTCACCCATTATACCAGATCAAAAATTCCCCATTCAGAGACAAGATTATTCCGCGCCAGGATGTTGATCTCCATGGTGTAGCGAAAGTGAGGGACGAGCAGCTGATTGTGGGGAAAAGAAACGAGACGCAGTCAAATAGGAGGAAGGGCAGGCTCCACGACAAGGGGAGAGAAAAGACGGGATGATAAGGGAGGGGGAGGAAGGCGGCATGAGACAGAGGGCTTCCCTTTGGAGGACTGGGTAGGGTCTCCCCAGAGGCATCCAAGGTCAAAGATTCAGGGTTTCACTGCTGATTTGCACAATCTTGTGTTCGCTGTCATAATTCTAGCAATCACTGGCCTCATACACAGAACTCAGTGGGATCCTCCACTCTGAGGCCATCTCCGCCTGCCTGCCTGGACGTACATTCTCTGTCTCTCTTTGAATTCTTGTCTGCCACTGTCTCTCATTGTCTGTCTGTCCCTCCATCCATCCATCTGTCTGTCCCTCCATCCATCCATCCGTCTGTCCCTCTCTCCCCCTCCCTCTCTCCGTCCTCTTCCCCTTTCTCTCCCTCCCTCTCTGGGTATTTAATGCCCTGTAGGAAACAAAAAACAAAAAACCTCTTCCTTGACTCTCCTTCCCCTCCCAGAAGGATTCTAGTCTTTCATTTCTCCTTCTCAGCTAGCTTCCTGAGGAGTCTCTACCTCCATGACTCGCAGGTTCTGCTCAGCCCACAACCTGACTCCCTGCATCTCCACTTCCCCAAGGCAGCCCTTGTCAACAGGTTAACCAGTGATGTCCATAGTGACAGAGCACCCCTCCTCTGCACCCGTGCTGACTCTGGGGTGGATAACCAGCCTCTGACTCTTTCCCATTCCTTGCCCCTCCCCCCATCAGTGGATGCCCCTCTGTCTCTCCTTCCATCACTCTTCCTCCTCTTCTCACTTTTTAGAGGGTGAGGCTAGCTAGAATCATGTCTTAGGCTAACTGTGCTACTGAGGCACCAAGCCTAAATCCTAGACAATTTACTCCAGCAAAGTGGTTTCAGTTACTTCTGTTTCCTGCTAACTGAAACCCGTGTCTCCAAGCCCTTCCTCATATAACCTCCTTCTCGCTAATGTTTTCAGACAGGTGGCATAAATATGTGGTCAAAACAAGGCTCTGGCGTCTCCTCTCCAAATTCTGCAGCTTTCTTTCTTGTCTTTTCCCTCTTCCCTTCCTTCTGCTCAACAAGCTAATCACTTTCTAATATTTCAGTAACACCTAATATCCAGCATTGCCATAGTCCTTCCTGCCTCACCACTAGGTATCACTCCTTCTGAAATGTCCTCACACCTCCCCACCCCTCCGACAACCTCCTCACTCTGAATTTCAACTCCCATGTAAAACCTATTCTTACTCTTTCCCCAGCTCATAGCAAGGGCTTCATGGTTTCCATAGGAGGGTTTGTGTGTGTGTGTATGGTGCGTGCGCATGCATGCATGTGTATGTGTTGTGTGTGCATGCATGCATATGTATGTGTATGTGTGCGCATGCGTGTGCACAGGTGCACACGTGTTCATGTATCCACATAGAGACTGAGCTGGCTGCTTCTCCGCATATTCTGGAGAGCAGACCCTGAGGCTGTAAGTGTGAATTGTGAACAGATGCACAGTGACAGATGCCCTGAAATACCTTGTATATGGGATGCAGGCTGGGTAAGCTCCTCATTGTGGCCACAGAGATAACCTCGGCCATTAGATGCCCCCTTAGCAGATGTGACTGTAACTGGTACAGTTGGAAATCAGAGCTTCGGACCCAGATCTTGGCCAGGAGCCAGGCCATGGGGGGATCCGAGGGCAAGAAGAGCAGAGGTGGGGAGCATCCATGTCGAGGAGGCTGGAGCTGGAGCAGGAGAGAGCGAGCGAGTAGGAGTTGAGAACCTGTGTGTCTAAGTCCCTAAAGGGAGTCACTGTTGGGGAGGACATTTGGTGTCGTACCTGAATGAGCACGGGTAAGAGGCGTCCATCAGGCTCTAGCTTCAGCATGACCAAAGGGGCTGTCACATATTGCGGCTTAAAAATGATGATGTTGGGCTTGACTCCATCCAGCAGGGAGAAATCAGCTTCAAACAGAGATCCAGCCTGTGGGAGGGGTCACGGGCAGATGGAGAGGCTGGAGTCAGGCCTGAACCCCACTTCTTTCACTTGCCAGAGTGGACTCTCTCTACCATCCAACAAGTTTACTTTAAGCAGCCAATCTCCCCAGAAGTAAAGCCCTGGATGTACCACTTGGTGCTTGGACTTCTCCAAGGCGAAGTTTTTGCTTTCTACCATGGACCACAATTCCCAACCTATGTACACACACACACACACACACACACACACACACACACACACACACACACACACAGGCTTTAGCCAAATGTAGCACAAATTGCTCCTTTACTCCCTTCTACAAAGAATAAGTTTTTTTTCAGGCTCGACTTAGTCCTCCTCCTCCCCTTCCTCCTACTCTCCCTCCCCTCTTTTCTCCCCCCCTTTTTTCCTCCCCCTCTTCCCCTCCTCCTTCTTCTCCTCCCCATCCTCCTTCTCCTTTTCCTCCTCTCCTTTCTTTGGGCAGTCTCTTTGAAACGTGATCTCATAACATAGCCTGGAGCTCACTATGTGTAACAGGCTGGTCTTAAGCTTGTGTCAATATCTCCGCCTCTGCCTCCTAAATGCTGGGCTTACAAGCAAGAGCCACCACACCCAGCTTGTTCAGTCTTGATTTTCCCTCCAGAAGCTCTTCCTTAGGACTAAGGCTAAGCTCTGTCTCATGAAGGAAAGGATAAAGGCGGGGGCAGAAAAGTCCATAAGACTTTACTGAGCATGGTTTTCAACCACGGGTAATTTTGTGCCTCCCTGCCCTCAAACATTTGGCAATGTCTAGAGTCATTTTTGGTTGCCACAAAGATGTGCTGCTGACATCTAATGGGTAAGAGCCAGGACTACTGCTAGACCTTTTCTATATAGGAAAGTGTCTTAAAACAATGTAGGTCATGATGATGACAGAGTACCAAAGCTGAGAACCCCCAAGTGCTGATGAAACTCGTCCCTTTGTAGGCTAGCCTGAAGACATTGCTTTTAAAAAGAAGCTCTAAATGCAGATGGAGGTGGGCACAAATGATGGAGGTGCGCATGAAAAAGACAAGGAAGGCGGGACGGGAATAGAAGGGGCGGGAACAGTGGCAGGCGGGCGGGGATAAGCAGAGGCGACTCCGCACCTGGAGCTCCTTCTCCAGCTGGATCTGTAAGTCTTGCATCTCGGGAGGCAGGACCAGCCGAACCGGAAGGCTCTTAGAGCGCCTCAGGAGCATCGGGTTGGCACCATTGAGGAACTGGTACCCGAAGAGGGCATCGTCCTTCCAGGAATCACGAACCCGCCCTGAGGGCATCAGTTGAGAACCCAGTGTGATCTCTAACTTTGGCCCCCCACTAGCCCAGCCCTCCCCTCTTCTTTCAGATGCCCTACTTGGAATTCTGGGTAGAGACTTAGGGAAGTTACGGTAACTGACCGGCCAGAGCAGTCGTTCCATATGGGAATATTTTTTGGTAATCTTCCAGTTTTTGTACACGACTTATAAAATCTAGAGTCCCCTTAATGGCAAATTCCTTCAACCTGTGCAAAGAACAACATGAAAAAAAGGAAAAAAAAAAAGATCAAGAAAGAGTTCACTTTGCAGCTTAAGGCGAAACTGCGCAAACTCAACCTAGTACTCACACTTTGGCCAGAGAGAGGGAGAAATCTAAATCCTTATCCTCCATGAATCTCTGGTTCCTCCGGAGGTCCTGCTGTGTACTCCCCGCTACAGGCAGGATTAAACCCTCCTTCCAGGAGCCCCACCTAGAGGACGAATAGAGTCCTGAGTGAGATATTGGTTTGGGGGCAGGGTGGAGGGCGACCAAAGGCTTTCTTGGACTCACCGGTACACCTTCCTTCGGCCCTCCATCTCCTGTTCTCGATACTTCTTAAACAGGTTCTGAGTGTCGTCGTTTACCTTTAGGGCTGGGAGAGGCCAACACAAGGGTTTGCATCCTCCCAGGACACCGCTCCTTGCCAGGGTCACTCCATCTTGCCTTCTCCTCAATCTCATCCTCTCTCTTCTCCCCTCACCCTCGTCTCTCTAATCTTTTCCCTTTATTTCATAACACGCCCAACGACCTCCTGCTTCCTTCAGCGGCGCCCCCAGGCTCCTCACCAGTGCCCTCGGATAGGCAGATAGTCTCGTTGTACTGCACCCAGCTGTAGCAGGGGAAAACGGCCTCTCCTTGGGTCCCAGGGCCCTGCACAGTGACCCACTTGCAGAACCAGTCAGAATCCAACAGGCCTTTATGCTTGTGCATCTTCACCAGCAGGAGGCGCCCTAGATGCACGGGGATGTCGATCTCCAACTCCGTGGTCTGTGGGACAGGACACAGCAACTCAGCAAGTCTGGGTCCTCAGTGAGGGCAGCGGTGTCCGCGAGCCCTCAGAGAAGCTAGGCTCCGCTTGTCCTTTTAAGAAGCACCCCAGGACAGAGACCTGAACCAAGCGGTGGCGAGAAAGGAGCAGGTCTCTCTTGGGCTCCAGGCTCCCTGTGCACTTGCTGCGCGCCCCAGCGGAATCTCATCCTCGCCCCTCTTTCTGCCCAGCCCGGTCTCTCCGGTTCCTTTCACTTTTTGCTTTCCTCACAGTCAGTCCACCTGCGCCTGACACCACCCCTGGCCCACCTTCTCTGGGATCAGACTTCCTCTCCTACCCCGAGTCCCCAGGACCCCTGTCCCCCGGGTTTCTGCAAGTCCAGCCGTTGCCCGCACGAACCCCTCGCCGCAGTGGTCGAAACTGCTTCCCGAGGTCCGCCTCCCCGTGCTCGCCCACCAGCCACAGCTGCACCAGGTTGCTGGAGCCCGCCAGAAGCGAGTCTCCAGTGACCACCCGGATCGTGTACTTGCCCATCTCGGCTAGTCCTCTAGAGGGACCTGGAAGAAGCACTTTTAAGAGGATCTGAGAACCAGCCTCCAGGGAGCCATTCCTAGACCAGAGTTTGGTGTGTCTGAGTTCCCCCACCCACAAGTCCCTACCCCACTGGAGGGCAGGTATCTGATACCGATACCTACCCTCGCTGTTTCTGGGTTTCCAGGCAGTTTCCAAAGATACAGCCCCACCTTAGTCGCTTGGCTAGGGTTTCATGCCCAGCACAACAGCTGGCTAAGCCACACACCCACCCAAGGGGAATGGAATGGCTTTGGATAGGGGCGTGCTTTTCAGTGGAAATGAGCATACCCTTGACAAAGACGCAGAGGTTTTGTTGAGGTCAGGTACAGTAGATGTGTTCATTGTTAGAACAGGACAGCCAGGAGAGGGAGTTTGAAGTTCCCATTAGACCACCCTGAAATGGGATCTTTGAGGCCAAGGCTTTAGGCGTACCCCCTTCAGGACTAAGTCTTCCCACCCCCCTCCCAGGGTTTGGCCACTTTCCTCTTCAGAACAAGTACAGCTCACCGGTACACCCTCCCCTTCCGTGGCACTCCGGCCGGCCCTATACCTGCCTCTGTCCAGGTCCTCTTGTGCTACTCTGGGCAAAAGTCCCTGAATCCACTGTGGTTGTTGCTTAAGAACTACTCTTGCCTCGTGTGGGTCAAAACAGGTGGCTAAGACCTGAATCTAAAAGTGTACAAGGGTGCTTGCTCTCTTGGACAAACCATCGAGGGTGAGTTGAATTAATTTACATCGAAGCAGGTGCCTGAAGGATCTTGTGGAACAAACACTAATCCGTCTAGACCTTTAGCATTTTTCTCTCAACCTTGTTTGCTTGTTTTGTTTTGAGACAGGGTTCCTCTGTATAGCTCTGGCTGTCCTGGAACTTGCTCTGTAGACCAGGCTGGCCTCGAACTCACAGAGACCTGCCTGCCTCTGCCTCCCCAGTGCTGGGATTGAAGGTGCGCACCACCACACCTGGCCTTTCTTAAAGTTGTCTTGGCTACTTCTCGTCAGTAACCTGACAGTGCTTTTTAAATGATCCTTGTTTATACAGTTGGGTAAAATTCTATTTGGTTCTAATAAAAATTATAGCTATGTTATTATATATGGCTATTACTACCATTCCATTGCTAATATTTGTCTATGAATTGGAAATTTTTACAGTGACCACAGCTGACATAAACAGTTGAAAGGTTGCATAACTTTTTTTTTCTTGAGACTGGCTCTTCCCTATATACCACATAGCCCAGGCTACCTCTGCCTTGCAATTTTTCTGCCTCAGCCTCCTGAGTCCTGAACGACTGTTCTTTTTTAAATGATGTGCGTGCACACTCGTGAGTGCGTGTGAAGGCCAGAGGAGAACTTCTGGGGGTGTCTTTCTTTATTGTTCTACCTTATCTCCTTGAGTCAGGGTCTCTCACTGACCCAGAAGCTCACTGCTCCGGCTAGGCTGGCTAGCAAGTGAGTTCTCAGGACCTGCTCACCTCTCCGCCCCAGTGCTGGGAGCACGGGCACACACAGCCACGCCTAGCTTGTTTGTAGATGCTGAGGATTGCTTAGGTCCTGGTGCTTTCAGAGTGAGCACAGATCCATCTCCCCTGCCCCAAACAACTGTTCACAACAGGCATACCCTTTACCTGGCAGGCACGGGAGTGTCACATGACCTCCTCCTCACTACCTGCATTTGCCACGCTGAAGACGAGCCAGCCTTTGGAGCTGATAACTGGGTGAGCGCCCGAAAGGTCAGCTTGAGGGGTTGGATCTCAAGTGTCCCCCCAGAGCTCCTGTGTTCCCAGCCTCACCCCCAGTGCGCAATGCTCAGAGGGAGGGTCTCTGGGGGGGTGACTGGATCGAATTCCTCCCCCCGACTCTGCCTCTGAGCCTTCACTTCTCACATTTGAATCACCCTTGCACCGGTCACAATTTAGACTTCATCACCCGTGGTGCTGCGCGGAGTGTGACTTGTCTCTCAGCCCGTGCCACCCGCCCCCCTTCCCCAGGACTGAGACGGGACGGAGAAGAGAAGCAGGCCATCATGATGCTCCTGGAGTTTCCCCATGTCCTGTGACACCAACGGGTTCCAGGAGATGCCCACGCACCCTCCCAACAAACCTCCCTTTGTTACTTACGTCACCTTAACGTGTGTTTCCAGAACAAGACTGAACTCCTATGGGGACCGAGTCCAAGTTACAGATGTATGGAAAGAAATGAGGGACTCGACAGACTGAGCAGGATAAACACACCCACACAAAGGCCCATGACAGTCTGCCGGGACTCTGAGGAGAAAACATAGGCCTCCCGGTGCCTTGTGGCGACAAGCAGATGGGCATTATCACGGTGAGCAAAGGTATGGTGTGGGGTGAGAGGGAGAGAGAGAGAGAGAGAGAGAGAGAGAGAGAGAGAGGTGCATGGCCTGTGCACAGAGGCATATCTGAGGTGAAAGCAGTGAGGAGCAGGCTGAGGTGGGTGGCTTAATTGCCACCCAGGGCCGTGGTGATGTCTGGGCCTGGGCTGCTGCCGAGGTCCAAGTCTGGGTTCATGGCCCAGATTTAGCCTCGGTCTGTGTTGATGTCTGTGGCTCTTGACAGCACCAAAGAACAAGAGGGTTGGGCTGTACAGAGTTGGCCCCACCCCCCTCACTGGCTGTAACACTAAGGAGAACAAGACCTGCCCCCTCACCCTCTGAGGCAGTGGGAAAGAGGGCCCTACACTTCACCTGGGCAGCACAATAGAGCTGATCCTATTCACAGGGGCGGGGCGGGGGGGGGGGGGGAGCCTGAGGGTGTGAGAAGGGGACAGCAGGTTGTGCATGCCATGTGCTGACAGAAAGACCCCTCCTCTCGAGCCTCACCACCTGACTCAACCACCCACCAGCTGCAGCACTCAGAACAGGCCTTTGCCTCGCCTGGTCACCAAAGTACAGCTGACTCTGTTGACTGGGGTGTGGATGAGCCCCAAGAATGTGAGTGTGGGGGATCTGGGCCCACCCCTCGCCTGCCATGTGGTGGCCTAGGTGAGAGAGATGGCCCTCTACTTCTGAGGCAAGTGGGAGAGCCGGCCCTGCCCTCAGCAGCCCTGCACCCCTCCTGGGCAGCACAGTGGAGCTAGCCCTGTTGGTGGAAGTGTGGGTGAGCCAGCCCTGAAGTTGTGAGCGTGGGAGAGATGCCTCCACTACTCGTGTGTCATGTGGCAGCCTGGGCAGGGAAGAGATCCCCCCTTGCCCCTCAAAGCATGGAAAGATGAGGGGGCTGACCCTCCCCCTACCAACTGCAGCATTGGGGAAAGTGGGCCCTGCACCTCACCTCAACACAGTAGAGTCGGCCCTGAAGGTGTAAACACAGGAGAATCAACCCTGAGGACTTGAAAGCAGGAGAACTGGCCCCGCCCCTCGCTCTTTGCTGCTAGAGGTGAACTAGCCAGGGCAATGATGGAGCACTGGGCCTGATGGTGAGGATGGGAGAGAGCTGGCTGGCTGACCAACCTAAAACTACCCAGGCCCCAAATTGGGGTTGAGTTGGCTCACCCCAACATCCATCCCATCTATGATCTACTGAAGCACGGGGAGGGACTGGTCCTGCAGACCCAAAGCTGCAGGATCTCTACAACACAGGGCAACAGCAGGATATCCAAGAGGAGTCCAGTGAGGCCCCAGCATCCATAGCATAGCAGAAACCAGAGGCCTCGAACCAAACCAATGGCTCTGCAATGGACACCTGCCAGTGAAGACACATGGATGAAAGGGTTTCCTGTGTGACTCACTGTGTCACTGCAGCTTCCAGGACTCACTGTGTGTGTCACTGCAGCTTCCGGGACTCACTGTGTGTGTCACTGCAGCTTCCGGGACTCACTTGTCACACTGCAGCTTCCGGGACTCACTGTGTGTGTCACACTGCAGCTTCCGGGACTCACTGTGTGTGTCACTGCAGCTTCCGGGACTCACTGTGTGTGTCACTGCAGCTTCCGGGACTCATGTGTCACACTGCAGCTTCCGGGACTCACTGTGTCACACTGCAGCTTCCGGGACTCACTGTGTGTGTCACTGCAGCTTCCGGGACTCATGTGTCACACTGCAGCTTCCGGGACTCACTGTGTCACACTGCAGCTTCCGGGACTCACTGTGTGTGTCACTGCAGCTTCCGGGACTCATGTGTCACACTGCAGCTTCCAGGACTCACTGTGTGTGTCACACTGCAGCTTCCAGGACTCACTGTGTGTGTCACTGCAGCTTCCGGGACTCACTTGTCACACTGCAGCTTCCGGGACTCACTTGTCACACTGCAGCTTCCGGGATGAGACTGATTTCTCCTTTTCCCTTTAAAAAATTTTTTTTTATTTGGGGGAGGAAGCTACAGGGGCAGAGGGCAGATATGAAGGGACAGGGAAATGAATGGGATTAAGACACATGATGTGAAAGACATAAAGAATAAATAAAAAGGGCCGGGCGTTGGTGGCGCACGCCTTTAATCCCAGCACTTGGGAGGCAAAGGCAGGCGGATCTCTGTGAGTTCCAGGCCAGCCTGGTCTACAAGAGCTAGTTCCAGGACAGCCTCCAAAGCCACAGAGAAACCCTGTCTCGAAAAACCAAAAAAAAAAAAAAAAAAAAAAAGAATAAATAAAAAGGAAGCTTAAGCCAGGCGTTGGTGGCGCACGCCTTTAATCCCAGCACTCGGGAGGCAGAGGCAGGCGGATCTCTGTAAGTTCGAGACCAGCCTGGACTACCAAGGGAGTCTCCAAAGCCTCCAAAGCCACAGAGAAACCCTGTCTCGAAAAAAAAAAAAGGACGCTTAAAAAGCACGCACAAGATGAGCGGGGGAGAAGTAAGGGACTCAGTAGTGGGAAGTCTCAAGAGATGAAGTCTGGCTGCGGGCGGCATCCCTTCCCTAGCAACCCCCATGCCTTTTATCTGGTAGCTTGCTCAATGACTCCTTGGATCAAATCAACGATTTTTCAATCATTCTTGTTCGGTAATATAATCT